GAAAGAAATGTTTTCATGTGTGTCTMAAGAATGCAAAAAATTGCTCATACTTTTTTATATTCTACATCTGTATGTGTAAGAACATTTACAAGTAACTGTTTGCAATACCACAAGCTTTATCAGGGTTAGTCAAAAGTGAAGTTCAACACTTCTATTAGTGAGAGAAAATGTGATAAAAGCCACAATTAGTGAAACTGTTTAGAACAGAACCCCCAGCTTTGGTGCAGAGGTAAAACAGGAACAGTATCAGTTAGCTGAGTTTCAAAGCATTGAATAATCAGGTCTTTAGTATGCCTCCATACACAGTGTGTGGTACACACAGTGACTGTGATCAAGCACACAACTAAGCAGGATCTGTAATCACTGTAAACACACTGCCTTGACAGCAAACGTGTTAGCAAAAGTAGTATTACCACAGAAGAGGAACCAGCTTCCTTGCTTTCCTGCTAAATATACTTCATAGCCCATTTCAAGTTTCACAACAGAATGACTGGTACACCCAGCCTGAATGTGGAGAGCAGGTTGAACCAGAAGTGACACTATGGAATGCTGAGAAGCTTTTTTTAATACTAGTGAGCAAGAACAGATTGCTGGAAAGTTTAGCACCATTCGGAAAATAGGGGACCATGGATGCTCCAAACTGAAGTAAAATTAGTAGCAAAATACAGTTAGCTATCRAAAACTCTACTTCTCTGCTCTTACCTTCAGATATTTTCTATTATAAGAAGCAAAAACCAAGGTTACCTTAAGTTTTTATAATCTTTTGAAAGACTTCTAGCACATCTCCTCCCCACCACCAAGCTCTAACAATGTTCAGTTTCTCTATTAACTACACCAACCAAGCCTGAATATCCATATTTTTACTTCAAATAACAAAACAATATCAGGAATAAAAATGTCAAATAAAGAACAAATTTTGTAAAATTCACAAACACACCGCAGATAGCTTCCAGCTTGTTTTTAGAAGTAGTTTTCTAAATTATAACCTCTATCTGAGCAAGGCTAAAATAATTTTCATTTCCAGCATTACTGAACCAACTATTGAAACTCCCTATATACCTGGCTAGCAGATGCACAAAGTGAAATAGTTTGCATGGAATCACCCCAGTACAAAGTTAAACTGTGTTCCTTCCATGTTACTACTCAGTCTAATATCTTCTCCATGATTGGTTTTCTCAGGTGATGAGAAGACTCATCTGCTAAGGATGGGAACAAAACACAAAACTTCTTATCTCCTCCTCACATCAAGGTCTCTGCTGCAGCAGAAGAAGGCATTCCTATGACCTCTATCTCAAGCACAATTTAGGATTATTAGGTTTTTCCTTCCTGTGCTGATAATACAAATACAAAACTAATGAGAAATTTTTAAYTCCAACAGTCCAAACAGTCTAATGTTTACTGCCCCAACAGGGTTCAATGGAGGACCAACACTTCAGGCAACAGGGAAAGGCTGTAACTGTTTGTAGTGACTGATAYTTAAATCAAAAGGTTTTAGCAGCTCTTGGAGTAGTTACACYTAACATTCTCTGMAGCTCAAAGATTTCCCCCCACYCCCCAATCTTTCATTAYTTTTATTTATTTTCAGTATCCACATTTTCAGATCTTCTCATTAGAACTACTACAGCTGAAAAAAATGCTAAGAATCAGATTTTTTAAATATGTTTTGATAATTATATATTCATAGAGTAAGATGATGGCAGAATATTGCAGTAAATCACTGAGAAGTAAATGTCAGTTTACTTGAAAAAGAATTTTGGAGTAGGGATCCCTGAAGTATTTTGGCACAATAATGTTTGCATACTATAAACTCTCTGGCACATAATATTACCTCTCTTAAAGGACGGATAGTACAGTTTGAGTTAAGCATAAAAGAATAGATATGTTGCAAGAATGTGAGACTACAGCCTACAAGAAAAGCAGATTCCCAAACAGTACCTACAAATTGCAAGCAAGGATACAACGAGGTACAAGATTTGCAGAGAACAGAACTACTTACCTATAACAATTGTCAGGCAAACAGATGTGTTCAAGCAACTGCTAGTACCCATATTAAAAAACACTGTATTTGAGACCACACAACTATCTACTCATAACAAAGAAGATAACAGTCAGCAAGAGAGAAGTAACACACATCCCTAAGAAGGCAGGAACTTTAACGAGTCCTCTCCAAGGGAAAAACGCCGAGCTATTTTTTTCAAGTTGAACAGGTCTCCTAGGTTTGCTAYCCATGAACAGGCTGATGAGTCTCAATCAGTGGAATGTAACACCACATGATCATCAGCCCYTCCACCGCGCCAGCACAAGCAAGTGCCTGCTGCACCCGACTGGGTGTTATTACATTGCAGGAAATATATTCTAACAACAGTGCTGTTGTACAGCACAATACAGTACAAAATGTGAGCAACAGCCCTCTCAGGATCCATAAGAAAACCGAAGATAATGGTTTCCCATCCTTTTACTGAAGTTTATTAGTCCTACCCAATTAAGACCATCCTTTACTGGCAGTTCTCTCACTTCCCATCTGAGAAGCTTAAATACTAAACCATCTATAGCTTTTTCTTTTCTCTCCTTAATATATATAGGATTACCCCTGTGAAAGACTACATGAGTAGAAAATTCGACGTATCTAACACGGCCCGTAATGGYCAAAGCTTCMCAGCCCTATCTTGAAGCAGTCACAACCCGATCTCCGCTCAGACCCAAGACGGAGTGAAGAATAATATCGAAAATGAATAAAATCAGAAGACGTAGAGAAAGGGAGGACTGAGAGACTCGGGCGAAGACGCCAACAGACACCTGTGCAGTAAAGAGGACAGGGGCCCTGCTGTCGGCTTCCAGGCCCGACCCTGGAGCACACCCCACCCGGGGCCCGGCGCTGGGCACTAGCTCGGCTCACGCAGCTCTCCAAGGCGCCCCGGCCCGGGCACCCCTTGTTCCCGCCGGCGGCCCCCGCCCTGCCCCGGCCGCGCCGCTCCAGGGCCGCGGCCTAAAGATGGCGGAAGCGGCCGCGCTTTCCTAGCAGCTCACCCACCCCGGCCAACACTTTGCCGTACTCACCCCCTAGCCAGCCTCTCGTACCGGGACTCCGCGCCCCACCGACACCTCGCCGCCCGCCTCGTCTTCCTGGCCCCGGCAAGCGCCGCCGCCGCCGCCTCACGAGCCGCGGCCGCCCGCCATCTTCCCTCCGCCTCCCCCGCCAGCAGCGCACGCGCCCCGCGCCAGCGCGCAGGCGCACTACGTCAAGGCGCGCGGGCGGGGGCTCCGCGGCTGAAGGGCCGCGGGCGACAACGCGCGTGCGCTCTTGCGGTGGGGCGGGGCGCGCGCCGCTTCCGCGAGCCATCCCGGCTGGCGCAGGGATCACGGGGTGGAGGCGCGCGTGGCTGTGCGCATGCGCAGAGGGGCGGCCCGCGCACCTCGGGGGTGGAGGGGGTTGAGCTCCCCTGAGCTGCCGCGCCGGGAGTGCGCCCACAGAGCCCCGGCTCCAGACAGGTAACGTTAACACAGGCACAGCTGTGTTCTCTGCTGCTCCGTGATAGTTCTCTCTTGCTCACCAAACGCCCAGGCGCTACACGGTCCGCCTTGTGTGGCCCCCAGAAATCCTTTTGGAATGGACTGCCCAGTGAGGTGTTTAAGAAAAGACTGGATGTGGCACTCCGTGCCATGCTCGAGTTGACAGGGTGGTGTTCACTCAACGGTTGGACTCCATGATCTTAGAGGTCTTTTCCGATCTAATTGATTGTGATTCCCTTCTCSTCTGTCCCCATTACCGGGCTTCAAAACACAAGCAAAACCTACTAATCTCAAGGCTCGTAATTACAGAGTAGTGAACACCTCCTGAGATCACTTACTGATGGCTAGGTCTCTTACACTCCTTGGTAGTCCTAAGGGTGCTTACAAGGGCATCATCAAGTAGTAATGTGGGAACATAAAAAAAGAGGTGCAGAATGGCTTTTTTTCACTGAATGAGTTGCGATTAATGCTTAAGAGCCTGTGTGTTTAGGCGAAAATGTCTTAAAGCTACTTGAACAAAARCATTTTACAGAGCAAACCAGGTTCAGCCAGAGCAGCTGCTGGGAAGTATATGTTGTATCAAAACGGGACACTAAGCTTTGTAATAAAGATTCACCACCTTGGTTTTTCTTCTTTAGTGGTGATTATTSTGACGCTGTTTAAGTTCCTGTGGTCAGTTACAAGTGCATGTCTGGTTTATACGCTTGCAGGAGCCACTGCCACCCCAGCACATACACAAACACTACTTGAGGTAATGTGCTCAGATGGGGTGAGCCCAAACAGTTGTCACACACCAGTGCAGCCTCTCAGCATAGCAGCAACATTACATTTTTAGTAAGATCTGAAATAATATTTTATTTCTCTCTCTTTTGCAGGATCAGCGAGACTACTGCTTATCAACACAAAGTGTCCTAACACATCTGTCTGCCTCTTTGTCCCAATGTTCTTTTCTGGAAAATTGTCCTTCTTTCAAGTGTGGTAGTAAAATTGCAAAATTTGAAAGAGCTGGTTTAAGTTTATCCTAACCAAAAGAACATTCTTTTCAACTAAAAGCTAACCATTTGTGAATCTCCCAGCTGCTGAGCTGTGATAACACCAGGTGCACCAGGAGCCACCCCTCCACTGTGTCACATTATGGTGTGGTTTCATCTCAGAATTAGGGCAGTTAGCAACCTACTTAAGGAGTCCATCCCTCCAGGGGTGGATACATGGCCTTGTTAACATCAAAATGATTGGTTTTCTTCACCTTTTTCTTTTCTCTAACAGGATGCAGATTGGGTGTCTTCCATCACTTGGCAGAGAACAGGGGAGCAGAGGGCAGATGCTGCCCTAATGTTTTCTCACTGTCATCATAGTAACACCTCTGTCTGATCTGCCTAAACCATACTTGGGTTATTATACTCTTGAASTCCCCACTTCTCCAGATCTATTTATCAAAAAGGTCCTCATTACCAAAATCAATATGTGTACCTAATGTTTATAAAACACACAAATTTAAATTTAAAATATTTTTTTAATTTACACTAAACAATAATAGAAAAATATCGAAGCTGTAAAATTTACTGTCCTGATCAAGCAATAAAACAAATGAACAAAAACAACTCGGGAATTGATGCTGCCCATCACCGAACCTTCTGAGAACCAAGAACATGTTTCCCCATCCTTTAGCTTTAGAAGTTCTTAAAAAACATGAAATCACATCTATATTTCTGCTAAAAACCAGAAACATTGAAAATTTACAAACTGAGGAGTGGGATTAGGGAAGAAACAAATACTTGAGCCACTGGGAAAAGGCCTTGTAAGTTCTTTGCTCTCGCAGTGCAGAGGTCCTTGCCAACATACACACAGAACAAACCAAAAGGACGATGCTGACCTCCAGACTGAATGCACCTGTGGCAACACAGCACTGGAGTTACCCTGCATGCACAACTACCCTTGCTCAGCTGGGAGCTGGACTGATGCACAGGCCTGAGAAACAGCCTAAGTCATCAGGTTCTTCTGTTCAGATAAAGGGGTTGAGGGTTAACCCTAGTACTGGAAGCTGCGTTTAGTCTGAATGTCATCGAGAATCTGTTGTAATTCTTCATCTTCAAACCGGCCCTCCAGGCTGCAAGGTAAGAACAATAAGGAGACATTAAAGGTTTCAGAAATAATCTCTCACMCTTGATTTATTTCAGTCATAACTCTCCTGTCAGTCTGAACACACCATCACCCACTGTATGTAACCACCAGGAACTGCCTGAACATCACTCACAGTATGAAGAGYGCTCTAATTCCTGGACAGTGCTTCCTCTTTACATGACAAAACTCCATTCCTCCCAGAACTTTCTGCTGAGTAATTTCAAAATAGACAAGGCAGGTACAGGCYTAAACAGACCTCTAAATGAAACCCATGTAGCTGCATGTTCATAAGCCAGTCCGTTTTTGCTACGAAAACTTAACATTRRATCATAGAATGRTTTGGGTTGGAAGAGACCKTGAAGATCATCTCATTTCAATCCCAYTGTGGTGGATAGGSACACCTTGAACTAGACCAGGYTGCTCAGAGCCCCATCCAACCTGGCCTAGAACACTTCCAGGGATGGAGTAATCACAGCTTCTCTGGGCAACCTGTGCCAGAGCCTCACCACCCTCACAGGGAAGAATTYCTTCCCAATAYSTAATCTAGATCTACTCTCAGTTTGAWGCCATTCYCTCATCYTGTCRCTGCTCTTGTAAAAAGTCTCTCTCCGTCTTTCTTGTAGGCTCTTCAGGTACTGGGAGATCACAATTAGATCATCCCAAAGCCTTCTCTTTTATATAAGGACAAATATACTTCAGATGAATGTTTCCTTCCCTCCTCTATCTCAGGCCATGAGGTAAGCAATCAAGACATGACGACTGCTCCCCATACATTATCCACAAAACAGTTTATTTGTTCCAAAGAAAGAAACCTCCAAGGAACACAAACACAGCCAGCTAAGAACCCCAATTAAGAGGTTTTCACTTGATCCAGTAGAAGTTCATGGAAGCACATTAGCAATATGTACAAATAATGCACTGCTGTCAGATCAATGGGTAGGGGAAGAAAGACCAAGACCAAACGTTCTTCCACCAACAGAGTTGGACTGAAGAGAAGGCACCTGGCTTTAGGTCACAGGGAAGTATACAGCAATCTTTGTACAATATATAAGTGCTTACCTAGGAATRAGAGCTTTTGCTTCCTCAGCTGTCTCAGGACACAAGTTAGCCAAACATGCCAATTCAAACTTGTGGAGCTTCTTCTGGAGCAGTAAACTGTAAGCAAAGACAAGAGTTTGATGAAATAAMAAGATAGAAATATAAAGGAGCATAAACAGAACCAAATGTTTATCTTTTTGCTCGCCACTTTTGGCACTGAAGTCAGTTTTTTAAGGAGGAAAGACTCATTATATAAATGCATAGAGGAAAAATTAAAGTCCTATCTGCTAACTCCACTTCCCCTGAATTATTCTAAAAAGTCTAGAAAATCTCCCATTTAAGGCAATCAGCTGTCCTTGAAATACTGAAAACAAAACATTTCAGAAGGCTTGTCTAGATAAAGTACAACCCTCAATCAAGTATTAAAATTAAACTTCTTGCCTCGTTAGAAAGAAAAGATTTGGAATTAAAGAACAAATCATGCAGCACCACTAAAATGTACTTTGATAGAGCAGCATCAATATTATAGATCCAATTCTCTAACACAGTGTTGCACCCTAACTTTCCAATTCACCTCCTCACGCTGGCAATGGTTTCACGGTTTTTGAAGCGGCTGAAGCGTGCTGTGTAGTTCAGGGTTTTCATGAAGACTTCTGACAGCTCCTGCTCATCCTCTGCACTCTCATTCTGCTGTTTGCGGTGCTCTAGCAGCATGTGCACCTCYGAATTCAGAAGGGTTTCCGCAGTTTCAAATTCTGCAGTCAAATGAGAGAACACCAGCATAAAAGTGAAACATGTTTGAAAGGGGGAATTGCACAAGTTTTGTACGTAAATTCAGCTGTGAGTAATTAAGAAGTAAAAAATGTGTTTCATGGCAGTTGTACAAGCCCGTTCACCAATGACTGGGCAGCATTTCATACTGAAAATGCTGAYAAAAATTACATCACTTCGAGTGACGATCCAAGGTGTTTGTCTTTTTGACCATATATTTTGACCATATATACTTGCAGCCCTAACATTCTGATTTTTTCATATTTTTGCAGTGTTTTCTTCATCCAACTTTGCCGTGACTTGCTACAGAAAAMTATATTTAAAACTCTAAAACTCCACAAAATACAGAAGTGATGCCTTCAATCTTCAGAAGTCTCTGAGTTCTTGAAGTAAATATGAATGCTGTTGAATGTTTCAAAAAAAGCTTCATTTACTTGAAAAGTTCATTGACCTACTGAAATTTTCTTATCAGAAAAAAAACTTTTCACCAATCTTAACAAATTCCCCCCTCCCTTTCAGCCAACTTTGATTTCATTCATCACCATAACCATTATATGTATYCCAATAACAAGAAGGTCTTTCAACATCAGCAGTATGAGCTGTTCAAAGCAATAGAGTCAGAGGCTGCATCCCAGAGTGCCTGACAGCACTGTTTTATACAAGCAGATACAAGGACTGCTAGAAAGGGACTGGCAACTCTCACTTTGCATTAAGCAGTAAATTAGTGTGGGCTAAATATGAAATTTTAGCATTAAAAAATACCAAAGTCTTTCAGAACGTCCCTATTGCTCATAAGTCAAAAATGCAGCACAGAGTCCATTTTTCTTTCCCCCTTTTTTTTTCCAGAGTGGCTCTGAAGTGTAAATACATCTCTAGAATTTGTACTAAAATAATTTTCTGAAAAAAAGCCACAGATGGTAAATGTCCATGGTTACCAACTCTGGATCTGAACAGCTGGTTTCCTAACTGCAGCAGTGTTSATAGATTTCCAGAACGGCTTAGGTTGGAAGGGACCTTAAAGCCCATCCAGTTCCACCCCTGCCAAGGGCAGGGACACCTTCCACTGTCCCAGGCTGCTCCAAGCCCCAATGCCCAACCTGGCCTTGGACACTGCCAGGGATGGGGCGGGGCAATCTGTGCCAAGGGCTCCCCACCCACACAGGGAAGAAAGAACTCCTGTGTCAAAAAAATCACTGGAAAAGTAAACCTTACATAAAAAAAACAGTAATCTTTTCGCTGTAACCTGATAATTTTTTTTTTTTAATACCGTACACACACACAGCAGCCCGCATAAGAAGAGCCATATCCTAGCAATCATGAGGTCCTTAAATATATATAAATCATTTATTATCCTGATTTTTAGCACTCGAGGCTTAGTAACTGGCGGCGGGGCCGGGGCGTTGAGCAGCGCTCTGGAGCATGGAGCCGCTCGGCGAAGCTCGTACCCTCACGACGGCCCCTGCCAGCTCCCGACCACCGCCCGACCCCCGGCCCCTCGCCGCCCTGCTCGCACCTTTAGGGAAGACGAGCTGCGAGGCGTCCTCCTCCACATCAGCCGTCCGCGGGTCRCTCCCGCCCGCCGCCATCACCGGAAAGGCGCCACGGAAAAGGCGGCACCGCCTCAGCGGGAGGGAGTGGGGGAGGCGGTTCTCCCGTGTGAGGGGCGGGAATGGGGCTGTACCGGCTGAGGGGAGGGAATGGCTCTGACCAGTGTGAGGGGCGGGAATGGGGCTGTACCGGCTGAGGGGCGGGAATGGCCCTGATCGGTGTGAGGGGCGGGAATGGGGCTGTACCGGCTGAGGGGAGGGAATGGCTCTGACCGGTGTGAGGGGCGGGAATGGGGCTGTACCGACTGAGGGGAGGGAATGGCCCTGATCGGTGTGAGGGGCGGGAATGGGGCTGTACCGGCTGAGGGGAGGGAATGGCTCTGACCGGTGTGAGGGGCGGGAATGGGGCTGTACCGGCTGAGGGGAGGGAATGGCTCTGCCCGGTGTGAGGGGCGGGAATGATCCTGATCAGTGTGAGGGGCGGGAATGGCTCTGATCAGTGCGAGGGATGGGAATGGGGCTGTACCGGCTGAGGAGCGGGAATGGCTCTGCCCGGTGTGAGGGGCGGGAATGGCGCTGCCCAGGTGAGGGCCGAGGGGGCGGCTGCTTTTTCCCTTCTTTGAAGGGTGCGGGGCCTCGTCTACTCTGGGTACTAATGAGGATAAAAGCGCTCGGTTCGGCTGTGGGGCACTGAGGGGAAACAGCGCGGGCAGGGAGCCTGAGTATTCTCCCAACAAAGCAACCCTCATAGGTGTGTTTGTTCGCTTAATAATGAGCTCCTTTTAGAGAGGGAGAGCAGTGGGGTATGGAACGTTGTATATGTGAACAGAGGGTAAATAGCTGTGACAGAGCAAGACTCTGCAAGGCCCCAACRGGAGCGTGCAGCCAGGCGGGGGTCGGCCTCTTGTCGCAGGGAACAGCGACAGGACGAGAGGACACGGTATTAGGCTGTGCCGGGGGAGGGTTAGGTCGAACATCATGAAGAATTTCTTCATCGAAAGAGGGATTAGACATTGGAATGGGCTRCCCAGGGAGGTGGTGGAGTCACCGTCCYTTGTGGTATTTRTGGAAAGATTAGATATGGCACTCAGTGCCATGGTCTGGTTGACGTGGRGGATTTGCTCAAAGGTTGGACTCGAGGACTCTCACTGATTCTGTGGTTATGAACCCAAAGTCTTACAAGGTGMGAAACAGGACCCAAGAGCAGGAGTGTATGGGAACACTGAGGGAAACAGTACCTGTCCTACTTTTGCATGAACAAACTTTTCTGCTCTGTCCTATAGGAAATAACCAAAGAGCTCAAAACTCTACTGGGCCCCTCACCAGACTGCACAGAAGCATCCATTTGCCCAGGAGCACCTGAGGGCACCAAGGAATTAGATGGATCTTCACACCAGTGGGTCAGGCAGCTACAACTGGCTCCATTTCCTACCAGAACTGCCTCCAGCTGGAGAGCAAACCCCAACCTTCGAGGTCTGCAGTTAGGAAAACTGTGCTAGAATTTCTGTCTAGCTCACTGTGATTAATAGACCTTACTCTGTAAGGAAGGAGTATTGATATCGTAAATAACACACTTCATAAGGAMGGTTAATTTTCAGATGATCCAGAAGCAATCTACAGACCCCTAAAAAATATAGGCAGGCCAAAAATGAGGGTAAGTTGTCCCAACACTGCCAGCAAAATAACTTAGGGAGCAGTGTTTTCCCTAAAGAGCTCACATTTAAGTGCCTAACCAGCCTAAGACTTTAAGTAATCATCTTATCAGCCCTTTCTATGTCATCCCTGTGCCCTTAAAGAAAGCCAAAAATAGACTGTTGAAGGATTTATGGTGAAACCACTCCTGTTTTCATAAACTTGTATCTGTGCCTAGGTGAATGGTTTCCTGCATGCAGGGAAAAGGAATGAATTAAAAATAAACGAGAAGAATATTAAGAGATCAAATAATATTTGTTATCTGGATAATGAGCATAGCAGAGAAACCGATTGGAAAGTAATTTGCTAAGAGGTACAAGCAGGAAGACATTCAGGAAGATGAAATAGAAATATCTTGAGGAACATCTGGCAAATTAAACAATTTCATTTAGGCTTACAAGAAAAGAAGGAAATCCATGCCAGATTGAGGAGAAAAGCATTTAAAATCACTTGGAATCCTGATGGCTTCTCAAATAACCCKTCAACTCAATGTCATGATTCTCAGAGCAGTAGGTAGCTCACAGTGGTTTAAGTTATTAATTTCCCTTTTCGTTTCCCCCCAAGGATCCATTCTACTTAACTTGTACAAAACCAAGATTTTATAGGCACAGTTAAAGAGGCTATCATGAAAGATTAAGTTTATTATCACTGATGTATTTGGTTAAGGTCTCAAGAGCAAAATAAAAACGTTCCTGAATGGAAGCTGCTCCCTGCCACCTTTTTTTTTTTTAACTTTAAAGAATTTAAAAAGCTTATAAACCCCATAGAAAATATTGTTCAGCTGCTGCAACAAACTAAATGTAGCAGAGTACCTGACCTTTTGTTGTTTTAAAAAAGCACTGGCTTCTTCCTCAACAATAATGACTTTTTCAGCATCTATCAACAAAATATGCATAGGAAAGAAATATGAGCTTGATGAAATAATGTGAATGATTATAGGAACTTTCAAGCAACTTTACTGGTGACATCCTAAAATAAACTGATGAAAAAAAGAATACTTGGCCAAATGTAATTTATCATGAACAAAGTCTCCAATATTCCATATTCCAGGACAGAAACCTTTGATCCTTGCTGGAGCTGTTATTGGGTAGCAGATTGTTAGACCTATCATGATAATTTCTGTGTTGCCACGGTTTAAACACAGATCCTSTAACAACTCATTGCGCTTACACTAATCTTACAAAATGCTCAGCTAAATATCTCTRTGTAATCAAATGCAGGAACAACTAATAACAAGGATATTCTATTATTAGCATAAACCTGTTTTGTAATATGCTTTCTTTCTAATTCATCAGCAGAAGCAATGTGATTTTCCAGGATTTCTTTAAGCTTTCTGACAGTAATTACGTCTTTTCTGTGGAGTGCCAGTGTGAAAGGAGTAGATCCTTCTGGAGATAATTACCCACTGAGAGCACCAGCAGCCAGTAYTGCACAAGACATGTGTGATTTTCATCTGTGTTCCTAAAGTATAACTCTTCAGGTWTAGGTTTTCACAGCATTTTACCTTTATTTTTGCTCCATTAAAAATTATATTCCAAACCCAAATGGATGAACATGTATGAGTAAAATTACATTAATATCCAGTAATAAAGTCATAGTAAGACTCTGAATGCAAAGCTGCATGATCTGTTCARTTTTTAAATACATATATGACATACTATCAACTGATCATATACTATATAGTTTATTAATCAGATTATAAGAGTAGTCTAGCTTACTATAGAAAAAGAAAAAATATGGTCCAATAATCTGGATATTGTTTAAGTTTTAGAATTATATACTTGTTTTAAAGAACATGGTGACAGTATTCTTGCTTTGTTTTGTGATCATCAAACATATTCACAAGTTATATTTTCCCAGACTGTGGCAAAACCATTTTAGGAACTTGCCTATCATACTGTTCCAGATACTGTTAGTATACATATTAATTTATTGAGTTGTATAGGAAAGTGTTCTGATTTTAATTTTTATCTTCAAGATCAAAATGGCATTTCTCGATCATCAATAAAACAAGTTTCTTTTTTGTGTTTAAAATAAAAAAGCTGAAGTATTCTTCATTTAGAGTATTCTCTGAAARTTTCTGCTAATCTTTCTACAATTTGGTTCTAGAAAAAAATGAATGCTAAATGACTAATTAATTTTGTTTTCTATTTCAAACAGAAGTAACAAGAGAAGAAACTGTTTCCAGGAGAATTATCCTGGTTTATATTTAGCCTGGATTGACCTATTTCAATGTGCAGTTACATGTACACCCTTCTACCTGGCCTCATCTTCCCTGAGAGCTGCTGAGTGTTCCTGCGGTCACAGAAGGCAACATGCATGGAAGAACCTCTGATGAAAGACACTGGACAAGGATTTTGTCTGACTGATTCAATAGGAAASAAAAAAAATCAAGTAAGGAAAAAGCATATGGCACTAAAATAYGCAAATTAAGTCACTGTTTTCCTGCCAACAAAGCTGAGAGAATATACTTGATAACTCCCCTGGGCACATGACAGTGGAGGGTAGGGATATGGATGCCTTTAGAATTCATAAGGAAATTCAACTGGAATTCACCTARAAATCACATTAGTCACAGCATCCGCTTCATATTGCCTAAGGGATTAACTTTCTAACCTTCCTAAGTACCAGCACTTGAAAACAGGTTTTTGCTTTGTAGTTGCACTGAGATAAATGAGCTTCTCAGGCATGTCTAAGTCAAAACTACGCTCCCCTTGGTTTGGTTGGGGGTTTTTTTTGGGTCTTATGACTGTTCATTGGCATCCAGGGCTGCCCTTCCCAAGAGCCACAAGCACAAAATGTAGCATCTCTAACTGTAGATCTGCCATAGATAAAAAGTTAAAAATTATCTGAAAATGTATGGAAAAAACCCATGTAAGCTAGAGATACAATTCAAAACTATTCTACAAATCAGCTAATCCTGTCTCAAAGCAAATACTAAAATGATAAGTATGTAGAGAGATGAGTGTTCTTTCCCTCTGAAATAAGATTTTTAGATCACCTGAAGACTATAGTMCTAAAATATATTTGTTCTCAGTGAATTTTAGAAGACAAAAACCCAAAGAACAATTTTGACTTTCAGAAAGATTTACAGTACTCTGTATGCATGTGCTTTATACATTTCACCATCATGACAACACAATATAAAGTTATTTTCAAGCAAACATTATTTCAGGATACAAAGACACTGCTATGCCATTATTAATTAAATATATTTAATATTTGGTTTTAATTTTCCTACTATTTTTCCTTGCTTTCTTCTAGTGAGCCTGTTTGATTATTGGTGTGTTTCCAGACAGCTGTCATCCCACTCTGGCAACCTCCCTGGTTTTGAATATGTGGTGTAATTTACAGGTTTGCTATTCATAACTGTAATATATTGTTTTTCTAGGTGAGAACAAT